CTAGGGGTTGGGGGTTGGGTGGGGGTAGTGGGTGGGTTAGGGTCATGGTTAGGGGTAAGGGTGGGGTAGTGGGTAGGGTTGGTGTAAGGTAGGGGTAGGGAGTTGGGATAGGATGGCGGTAGGGTGGGGCCGGGGTAAGGAAGGGGTGGGGTGGGGGTAGGATGGAGGTAAGGGTGGGGGTAGTGGATAGGGTTTGTGGTTGGGGTAAGGTAGGGGTAGGGTAGGGAGTTGTGATAGGATGACAGTAGGGTGGTCCCGGGATCCGGGTGGGGCCGAGGTAGGGGAAGGGTAGAGTGGGGGTTAGGATGGTAGTGGGGGTAGGATGGCGGAAGGGTGGGGGTAGGATGGCGGTACGAGGGTGGGGGTAGGATGGCGGTGGGGACGAGCTAGGGGGCATGTTGTAAGGGGTAATACACGGGTGGGGGTAGGGTAGGGTGGGTCGGGGGTGGCGTCGAGGTGGTAGGGGGTGGCGGTAGGGTAGGGTGGATCGGGGTGGGGCCGAGGTAGGGGCATGTGGTAGGGGGTGGGGTAGGGTCATTATAGGGAAAAATGGGTACGCGGGGTGGGGTTGGTAGGGTAAGGGGTAAGGTACGTGGATGGGGGTACCGGAATGGAATCGGCATCGGAGCGGGACCGGATCCACCACTAGGCGTAAGTATGCAAATTCATTGCAGCGGCACTGTAGCATCTGCGTTTTCTAAATTTGGAAAACTAGTAAAAATCACTTCTCCAAATCATTAAGGAAAAGAGAGATGTGTCTCTTTTTTTTTCGTTTTAGAAAACGATTTGGTAAACGCGTTTTTCTTTTTTCTTTTCTCCAGTTTTCCAGCAATTTCTTTGGTAAACACGTTTCCTGTTTTCTGTTTTCCAGTTTTCCAGTTTTCTAGAAAACTGGAAAATATCTCTGTTAGTAAACAGGCCCTAAGTATTCTTGTGGCTTGAATGGATTTTCTTGGGCCGATCAAGTATTTGGGCCGAGGACCCACATTTTTACGAGCTACTTTATCTCCTTGGCTTGTCCAACCCTAGATCCGTCGAGGCTCAAGTCCTTTGTACAATTATACTCCCTCCGTCTCTCAAGATTTTGTCAAGTTTGACTAACACGGAATATAATAAAGTAATAACTGTGTGGTTGAAAGAGAAATAACATGAACTATAACTTCAATGATTAAAAGAGAAAGTGACAAAATTTTTTGGGACATCAAAAAAGGAGAAATGACAAAGTTATAAGGGACATTGTGAGTAATATATAATATAATTTTTTATATGTATAATAATATAATAATATATAATTATAATAATAGTAATTTAATTGTACTCCATAATATATAATAATCCAATTTGTATATTCATTGTAGTTGTACATAAATGACCTCAATACTTTTATATATTAAAAAGTATAGGATTGTGTTACTAAATCTATGACTGTGATTTATGTATATATTTGTACCTACATTTGCTTGGATACATCAATCTTTATATAAAAAGATATGTTAATATAATGATAAGACCGATTGCAATCATTGGAGTGAAAGGACTATAAGTCTGCAAGCTAAGTGTGCAACCATGGAATAAATATGTACACCAACATAACTTATAACTATTGTGAAAGTCAGGTACATAGCACCATGAGTGAGGAATCCACTAAAAGTTCAATCCACTACCGTAATAGTGTATCGGAAACGTTATGTATCAGATATTCTAGGATACTCGTACCGTACGTTCCCGGACCGTATTTGCAATTGATTTAAAGTTTTCAACTTTTTTGGTAGTTATTTTAAAGTTTCAGATACTCATAGCCTGACGAATACACGTATCAACTTCTTTTATAAAAAAAACACCCAAGATACCCTGACGTATTTGCACTTTTTATAAAAAAACAAAAAAAACTAAAAATAAATTTATCTTGCTTTAATCTCGCACTCAACTAAGTATATGGACGACAAAAGTAAAATGTGATATATTAGAAGACGATGTTATCCCTGAAACTTAGTACTTCAAGTGAAAATATGTATTAGAACTTTTTTTATTAGAGAATTGTTTTCTATCTTCATTATTCAAGAACTTTAGGAACTTGCATTTTTAATTTCAAAATCGTAGTTGTTTGACTTGTTTCTCCTTTTAAATTAGTAACTTATTGACTATATTTATATTCCGTGATACACTTATTGACTATATATGAGATAAAGTATGAACTAGTTTCTAAATTAATGCCTTATTGACTGTATAAGAGATAAGGTATTTTACTGTATTTCGTGATGCACTTATTGACTGCATATGGGATAATAAAGCATTTTAAATCAAATTAATGACTTATTGATTGTATATGAGATAAAGTATGAATTGATTTCTAATTATATTGATGATGTGAAATGCTATAATGCCATGAATGTGCAGAGGTCATATGATAATATGTGTGTATAATTTTAAGACATTTTCGTTTTGTTTGTGTATATGGGCAGGGGTCATGTTATAAAACTCAATTGAAACACATTTTTGTTTTGTTTGTTACAATATCTCCCAAACTAAAAGAAATGAAAACGAATCATGATTAATCGAACCATAAAGAGAACTAGTTACTCCACACGTGCATTGCACGAGAGTGAATTACCTACAAAGCAATTATATAAAAATGAAACTACAAAACTGAATAATGGCCCAAATTATTAAAAAGATTGAATAAAACAAAGTCCTAAATTAGTACTCCCTCCGCCCCATAAAATTATTCCAATTTTCCTTTTTGGGCCGTCCCAAAAAAATCTTTCTACTTACTATTTTTGGACAATTTGTGTGGCTCACATTCATTTTACATTTTTCTTACACAACTACAACTATATGTTTCCACTTTACTCTCGCTTCCTTAATATGCGTGCCAAGTCAATGTGGGAGGTTTTTTTTAGACGGAGGGAGTATGTCTTTGTATTATACCATAAAAATTAAATGTATGTAGGTCCATGAAGTTGTCAACGAAAACTACAAATTACTATATATACACCATCCAAAGCATATTTGGTATGTCGTTTTTTCTTTGTCATGTATTACAAAATTCAATGAATATGGAGTTTTTACTCTCGACACCACCATCTACAACTGTTCATGCCTAAAAATAGGGGTGGCAGCGGGTCGGATTTTCACCGGGTGGAGGCTCATCCATGTCCACCCGTTAATTTTTTATACTCCACCCACCCGTCCATCATCCATTAAAAATTACATCCACATCCAACCCATCCATCTTGAACGGATTATCGGGTGGATCGGGTGAGTAGCGGGTGAAATACAAATGTTCAAACTTGAGACAAAATAAATAAATTACAAAGAGAAATCATGACAATTAAGAACCAAAAATTAAGAATTCATTGTAAAATAACAACAAAAACATGAGCAATTAAGTATATTACAATCATTAATTCACTGCCAATGATAAAGAAAAAAATTGAATGTTAAACAAAATAGACATAAAACTTCTTCAAGTTGTTAAATTTTGCATTTATGCATCGGCACAAAACTATTTTTGCTATTTAACTGCCACTTCTTGAAGCTCTCCAATTATCTTTGTTTCACCAATTAACTATTATTATTATTATTATTATTATTATTATTATTATATATTATTAAATAGATATAATATATATTATATATTATATATTATATATTATATATTATATATTATATATTATATATTATATATTATATATTATATATTATATACTTATATGCGGGTCAGCGGGTGGGTGGATGGAACGGGTGACGGGTCGGGTGATGGGTTGGATGAGCCTTCATCCACACCCGATCCACCCCGTCTTTCGATCCACCCGTCATCCATTTTTCATCCATACTTCTTCGGGTTTTCATCCATATTTTCGGTTCGGGTTGACCGGGTATCCGCGGGTGCGGGTGATATTGCCAGCCCTATCTAAAAATGGGTCGAACGAGAAAAATGCCATCATTTTCCAAAACTACCCCGGGCCGTTAAGAATATTTTTTCATCATTTGTAATGGAGTCAAAGGCTCACTGTTTTTTGACTTGGAAATATGACGAAATAAAGCAAAATATATCACTAAGCTGTCTCTGCTTCTTTGTTATGAAGCAACAACCAATTCATGCAATTTCGAACGCGATTTTCACTATGGATCATCCGGAGACAGCCTGTCTATACTTTAGTTGTGACACCGCACCCGAACGTCCTTGAGAATTTGATTTTAGAATTCAAAGTTTATGTATTGGATTTCTGATTCCCAAACAATTGTAAAACGATTGTTGTTTGACGTAATTCATGATCGATTATGATACCGCTCGAACTCGTACATTAGTGTTGGGCTTGAGGATACTCGTTTGGGCCTTATTAATAAATAAAAGATCCAAACATTATCTAAATAGTTATACATAACGTTTCAAGACAAGTTGAGGAAGGGCGGGCAGTCCATACATTATTTTGAGCTCAACCCGCTAAAATAGCAAACAGTTGAGGACGGCGTCGTAGGCCCACTCGGGGGCGACCCACACGGCTTGTAGCCCAATAATATGAATGACAAATGTCAAAATAAGCGATAGGATGATTAAAGAAGAGTACAAATGCCTATAACCCCATCTTTGGCATTATTGAGCCAAATAATGGGAGTAGGATTTTCCTTCTATATTATCCATCAAGTAAGTTATTGAGATGAGCCTTCACATATTGGAGATCAATAATGTTATGTAGGAAGTTGACTTGTTCTAAATAAATTAGGATGAGTCCAAAAAGGACATCTTTGACAAAAGATAAAACAATAGGACCCATTCTTCCATTTTTGGATGTATTGATTAATGTTTTGCTCCCAAAAATAATGGGGGAACACATGCTGCGCCCCATCCCTTCTTTTCCACCTGCAAGACAAGAAAAACAAGGTTAGGAGGCTGCCATAGTTGACTCTAGGGGCTGGACTTGACAAAGGAAACAAAAGGGAACCCCACCTAGTCTATTTTCGCTCATAAGAGTGGTGCTGGTTGTCTCCCTTCATGAGTGATGTTATACTCGGCCAAATGAGGTGTATAAGGTGTCCTTGGATAGCTTTTGAAGTCTATTTTTATAATTGAGTGGTCTCAGTTCGAGAGGAGAGAGTAATCATCCAAAAATCGATCTGGAACGAGCAGTGGTCTGTGAACTCGAGCTGTGAGAGTGCTGAGACTGTTTGGTTGATATCTCGAGTTTTACCAATCAAATTAAGGCGTGTGAGATACCAAAAGAAAGCTCTCAAGACGAGGAATCCGTGAAGGTCTGGTTTGCATCAATCGGAGTAGAGGAAGGCTTCCAAATCGTCCGAGCAGAACGCGACCTCGCAGGGACGGATTTACTCTTCTAAGTGAGTTTTTAATCCCAAAACCTTTCCATTCATTTTCCAAATGATATGAAAGATTGGTGGGACTATTATACACTACTCCAAGTGTATAAAACATCTCTATTAAGTTATTTTATTGATGTAAAGGTTAGATACTAACCTAGATGCAATATTGGAAAACTAGGAATCGAGTTAGCCGGAAAACACCCGTTCTAGGGGCTGTTTTCGTATCAACGATTAGGGGTTGAAATAGCAACTTGAGGAGGCTGTTTAGCACCCATTTCTAAGCAAGGAATCAGTTCTCAAGCTTCCTTGGCCGAGGCTTTAGCCATTGGATCGAGAAGGAAGGTTTTAAAGCTCATTTGAGGTGAGGACCGACATCTAGTTGCTTACAACTTGTAGGTTAAGCATGAGATTACCTAAATGCCAAAATCATGTTTTCCATAGATTATGATGATAAATTATTGATGGAATATTGATCTATTTTCCAAAGAATGAAATGAGAAATGATTTGGTAAAGTATTGATAAAAATGGAGTTAAATGAACTATTGTGTGAAATAGTCACTCTACTCATGTGTGAATTGTGTGGATACATAAATGATTATTTATGTATTACATTGAATGATTAAGTTGCTGCTACATATCTCTAAATATGTAGGGTTTTACAAATGGAATATATGATGGATAAGAATAATCTTAATAGTATTGAAATACTAGTTAATGATTGTTGTAATTGTTAAGGGAATTGAATCTAAGGATTTGATTATAATTGATGTACTTGATTTTGATGCAAGTGACAAATTTGATGTAATGTGATGCTAAGACCATGGTTGGGCAGTCCGTAGGGATGTCCCAAAATAGATTATTGATATTACAATTCTAGGCATAGTGAGTGCTTAGGAATTGGGGTCTATGCCAATGTAAGGAGATGTACTTGAGCCCGTGCTCATAGAATTGCATTGGGTAGACATGATGAGGTGATTGTCGTGCATGGTGATGTAGTTGAGTTGGACTCAAGAAATGCACGGTGGAGTAGTTAGCTTATGTTAATAAGGGTGCATGGTGATGTAGTCGAGTTGGACTCGAGAATGCAAACATGTGTGTTAGGGTTGAACCCTATGTATTGTTGTGACTAGGGGTCACGGGATTTTTGGGGTATGTTTGATAAATGATACACTTGTAATTTCCGTATGTATGTTTACGTTTTTAGCTAGTTTTGGTTGTTTAGTATTTCGGAAATTACACACTTTTGGTGTAATAGTTTAGTTTGTTGAATTCTTGTAAATTGTTTAGATTAGGTTTATTCTGAGCTCAAACAGGTCTACTATCACTCAAAGGACGGTTGGTGAACCCCAAAAGTGGAAGGAAAGTGCAAAGTCACAAGACAAAAGGGAAGATCCTGATTTTTGGTCTATACTCGATCGAGTATCTGTATATACTCGATCGAGTATCTTGTTGAAATTTCAAATCGGATCCGATCCGGGGGCAAAGGAACATGCAAGGAAAGATTTGGCCACGTTTTATTGTCATACTCGATCGGGTACACCGACATACCCGATCGAGTATACATATGAATTTGAACCTGAATTCGGTCGAGTATAGCTCAAAATCATCATTCTGCACATACTCGATCGAGTATCTATCTATACTCGATCGAGTACCCGAGCTGCACTCCCAAAAAGCCTATAAATACACCCCCTTTCCTTCACAATAAAAACACCAATTCCTATATACTCTTAAGCTCAGTTTAGAATAGCATTTTTCTATATTTCTTTTGGCATGTTTAGTCTCCAAATGAGGAGCTAAACTTCCATTTCTTGGTGTTGCTCTTGAAGCTTGTTGATTATTAAAGTTGTGAGTTATTTTCTTAACTTCTTTCCTTGAATATTAATGCTTCTCTTAAATACTATTTCTATATCAATGTTGGGGAGTGTTGCTAAGATGACAATTAGTTAACATCTTGACATTGGTCTTAGTAATAGTTATTCCTTCCTCTATGTTAATATTGGGGAGTGTTACTAAGATGACAATTAGTTAACATCTTGATATTAACTATAGTAGGATTCATTTTCCTTAATATTCTTCCTTGAGTATTAATTAATCCTTAATCATATTGCATATTAATATTTTGAACATTACTTAAAGGATCAACTAGTTTTGTTTCAAATATTAATTATTACTAGAAACGATCAACGAACCGATGGTTAATCGTTGATGGTTTCACAAGTAAGTAACTTCGGTTTATTAATGCACGGTCGTGGTTAATAAACTTAAGAGGGATTAATTTTGTTGGTTAAACCGAGACCGTTGTGTTGAGGTTATCAATCTCAATTGATTTCATCAAGGAATTAAAAGATTAAATGCTACTATCAAGTCGGTATATGGCGTTGTTCTATACTTGACTAATAGTAAGGGTTATTAATGAACGGTCGTTGTTAATAACTATCCTCGATGAATTGGATATACTCCTCGATTGAGTATTCGAGAGGAAATAAGTTATAGATATAACAATGATCGACTAAAATATATCAACAAGTGTAAAGTAGCAATACCAAGTCCCTTTTATCTTTGAATTAAATCACATATAACTCGTTCATCTTCGTGTTTAATTTAATTAAATCATTCAACCCAAAACCCCCCCTTTATTTACTCCTTTCGTTAAAAAGATAAATTATTCCTTTCCCTGTAGATACGAACTCTACTACGCTATACTACGTATAAGTGCTAGTATTGAATTTACTTTGAGTGCACTCACGACAAAGTGCACGTTAAATTTGGCGCCGTTGCCGGGGAAAGGCAATTATTTTTCTTTTTATTTTATCTCATAAAAATCAAAAACAAAAAAAAAATAATAAAAAAAATATAAAAAAAAAAAAAAACTTACTCTTCTATTTTCTGAGCTTACATGAGTTATGAGTATATGGATGCCAACATATCATCCTTAGAGAGTCAAATTTCCTTCTTGACTTCTCTAATAAAGGAATTTATTTTAAACTCGGAAGCTCAAGATGCCAACACATGCAACATTTGCATGTCTCACAGACATCTTACGGATTTCTGCCCAAAGCTCCAAGATGAATACCTTAAAAGTGATGATGTTGGTTACAAAAGGGATGAACCTCACATGAGGTATGATCCGTTCTCCAACTCTAACATGTCTACGGAGGATATGGTCCGGGCTATTGCTACCAACATGACCACCATGCAAAACAACATGGTACAATTCCAAAATGAGACCAAGTCTAGCATTTTAAACTTGGAAACTCAAATGAGTCAAATAGCCGGAGCCGTGAGTAGGCTTGAAACAAGGGATTCAGAAAATCTTCCTTCTCAAATAGAATGTGATCCTAAACAGCAAACTTTTGCAATCACATTTACAAATGAAAAGGAGATACAAAAGGAGATCCAGAATCCAGAAGAAGTAGAAGAAGAAAAAGACACGGAGCTCCAACTGGTCAAAGAAGAGGATAAGCCGAGCTTCAAATTCAAACTTATGTCATTGTCATCCTTTGAGGTATCTCCATCATCCCTGGACGCTTTAAGAGAAACTCATAAACTTGAAAAGGACAATGACATTTCTGAAATCTCCTTCAAAATTGAGGGATCGAAAAACTTTTCATTGACCATACTACATGATAATTTCTTCCCCTTCCTCCCACCACATAAATCAATGAAAATCTGGATATTTGATCCTGGAAAGATTTCCAAAGTGGAGAGTCGAGAAATTGAGCACTCCTATGGAGGTCCTAGGAGTGAAAATTTGAAGAAAATTAATTATCATGATCCAAGCTTGAACGATTGAACACAATGATGGCGTCGTGCCGCGACGTTAAATTAGGCGCTTCTTGGGAGGCAACCCAAGCAAGGTATGTTTTCTTTTCATGTTTATTTCAGTTTGTGTGCGTGTGCAAAAAAAAAAAAGGAGAGAAAAAAAAGGTGTACTTGGAGACATACCCGATCGAGTATAAGTCAATACTCGGTCGAGTATGTCTGGAAAATCAAAACCACGAGCAGCCTGTCTCCTATACCCTATCGAGTATCTATCAATACTCGGTCGAGTATCACTGGAAAAGCCATATTTGCACCCCCTATCTCCAGTACCCGATCGGGTATAGAGAGGCACCCGATCGGATATACCTGCGATTTAACCCCAAAACACACCCCAAAACACTTCATCTTCTCCAAACACCCATACCAACCTCGACCCCTTCTCCCAAAAACTCCATTTTTCTACCTTCTCTCTACCATATCTCCATCATTTCCCCACCAAAACACCCACAACCCACCAAAAATCAAAATCACCCTACTCCACAAACAACAAAAGCCGAAATTGGGCACTAGGGACAGTGCTTGAACTAAGTGTGGGGGAGGAGACTCATCATGGGTATGTAATCTTATTTTCTACCTTTTACTACGCATGAACTTCTTTAAAAAAAAAAACAAAAAAAAAACAAAAAAAAACAAAAAAAAATGAAGAAAAGAAATGCTAGTTAGGTTGAAAACCCAACAAAATGGGCAATCTAAGCAAAAAAAGGCTTGTGAAAAATGATGAGTGAGTTGGGAGAATGGAAAATGAAAAGAGATGCTAGGATGAAAACCTGAAAAGGCTCCTAGGCAAAATGAGAGATATGAGAGAAATATTTATTTTTGCATGCACTCATTTAATCTCTTTGGAGAAAAAGAAGAGAAGAAAAAGAAGAAAAAAAAAGGCAAGAAGATGGAGCATAGAAGATCATTAAACCCAAGAAAGAATGTTGTTGTAAAAACTCATTTTTTCCCTTGGTGGTCTTAGTTTCCTTCTTTCTTGAACTTTTGGAAAACTCTTAAACCGGTTGGATGTTTCTGTTTTACTCGAGGTCGAGTAAAGAACTAAGTGTGGGGGAGTTGATACACTTGTAATTTCCGTATGTATGTTTACGTTTTTAGCTAGTTTTGGTTGTTTAGTATTTCGGAAATTACACACTTTTGGTGTAATAGTTTAGTTTGTTGAATTCTTGTAAATTGTTTAGATTAGGTTTATTCTGAGCTCAAACAGGTCTACTATCACTCAAAGGACGGTTGGTGAACCCCAAAAGTGGAAGGAAAGTGCAAAGTCACAAGACAAAAGGGAAGATCCTGATTTTTGGTCTATACTCGATCGAGTATCTGTATATACTCGATCGAGTATCTTGTTGAAATTTCAAATCGGATCCGATCCGGGGGCAAAGGAACATGCAAGGAAAGATTTGGCCACGTTTTATTGTCATACTCGATCGGGTACACCGACATACCCGATCGAGTATACATATGAATTTGAACCTGAATTCGGTCGAGTATAGCTCAAAATCATCATTCTGCACATACTCGATCGAGTATCTATCTATACTCGATCGAGTACCCGAGCTGCACTCCCAAAAAGCCTATAAATACACCCCCTTTCCTTCACAATAAAAACACCAATTCCTATATACTCTTAAGCTCAGTTTAGAATAGCATTTTTCTATATTTCTTTTAGCATGTTTAGTCTCCAAATGAGGAGCTAAACTTCCATTTCTTGGTGTTGCTCTTGAAGCTTGTTGATTATTAAAGTTGTGAGTTATTTTCTTAACTTCTTTCCTTGAATATTAATGCTTCTCTTAAATACTATTTCTATATCAATGTTGGGGAGTGTTGCTAAGATGACAATTAGTTAACATCTTGACATTGGTCTTAGTAATAGTTATTCCTTCCTCTATGTTAATATTGGGGAGTGTTACTAAGATGACAATTAGTTAACATCTTGATATTAACTATAGTAGGATTCATTTTCCTTAATATTCTTCCTTGAGTATTAATTAATCCTTAATCATATTGCATATTAATATTTTGAACATTACTTAAAGGATCAACTAGTTTTGTTTCAAATATTAATTATTACTAGAAACGATCAACGAACCGATGGTTAATCGTTGATGGTTTCACAAGTAAGTAACTTCGGTTTATTAATGCACGGTCGTGGTTAATAAACTTAAGAGGGATTAATTTTGTTGGTTAAACCGAGACCGTTGTGTTGAGGTTATCAATCTCAATTGATTTCATCAAGGAATTAAAAGATTAAATGCTACTATCAAGTCGGTATATGGCGTTGTTCTATACTTGACTAATAGTAAGGGTTATTAATGAACGGTCGTTGTTAATAACTATCCTCGATGAATTGGATATACTCCTCGATTGAGTATTCGAGAGGAAATAAGTTATAGATATAACAATGATCGACTAAAATATATCAACAAGTGTAAAGTAGCAATACCAAGTCCCTTTTATCTTTGAATTAAATCACATATAACTCGTTCATCTTCGTGTTTAATTTAATTAAATCATTCAACCCAAAACCCCCCCTTTATTTACTCCTTTCGTTAAAAAGATAAATTATTCCTTTCCCTGTGGATACGAACTCTACTACGCTATACTACGTATAAGTGCTAGTATTGAATTTACTTTGAGTGCACTCACGACAAAGTGCACGTTAATAAACAAACCTTGGGCCTACGGGCCGACTACTTGACTTTATATATAAAGTAAGTATATTTTTAAAAAGGGGTAACTTGGGGTTACGGCCTAGATTATACTATCACCCTATTTGAGGGTCTTGTGTTTGAAATACTTGTTGTATATCTATTAGATGCCATCCACACCAGCACTTTATAGCCCTATAGAGTGCTGACCCTTCGGGGGCGTCCCACCACCATTTTTCAGGTTGAGGCTAGAGCTTGCTTCCTGTGCTCGTTGCTCGAGGGATCATCTAGGAGGGAAGACTTGGTTCGTGCTTCCTCCATTCAGTTTTAAACATTAATAAACATGCTCGTGGATATTTTACTATGGAGCCTGCGTGCTCATGAATAGCCCGGTGTGGCCTTTTTGTTTTAAACAATGTTTTCCGCTGCATTATGAATTACTTACTATGTTTGTTTATGGATGGCTTACGTGTGAATGATATTCGAGACGCCTTGTATAATATGAATGTGTTGGACTGCGGTTGACTATTCGTATTGTACGGCGGGTTGTTGACGTGTCCGGGGAGGTCCGGGGCGTGACATTAGTACATGGGTAAGGATGCGTACATCTGACCCCCCTTTTACCCACCGTTGGTGGGAGCCTTTGCTGCACCGGAGTAATGTTGCTGCTGATGATGATGACATGGCTAAGAATTAATGAAAATTATCTTCGCTGAAAAGAAAATAGGAATATGACGTCTGATATATATGAGCTCAAGTTTAGTCACTAGGAGTAGTGTATCGTTGCAAAATTCAGATGAATGATGTATACATATTCTTCATAAGCATCAAAGGAACCTCCACTTTCAATTTTAATTGAGATCATAACTCGGCAAACTGAAACATTTAATGTTATTAAGATGTTCAAGAGAATGTATTTTGTGTAAAAGGTCACAATTTGAATTAGATGAAAATGCTGAATCTGACCGCATATTAGTCTTTAATTCACAATCTATCGGATCCAACATGTAATCATTAATATTATCAAGCTTATTGAATGAGGTTGTTATTGTCTGTTAATGTTTTTGTTGCAAATGATTTTATTATTGTCTTTGCTATTTTGTTTTAGTCAATATAGATTATTTATTTTCATGTGGGTAGCTCACCTATAGTTTCTATACATAAAGATGAAGTGTTTATGATGCTATTCTACTTCAAAAATTTAAATTTCAGTAAAAAATTGACTTAAATGAATTGATAATCAAAATATGGTATTCTATTAAAATGTAGGGAAAAGGTGCAAATAGGCCCATGTACTAACCAAAAAAGGTCAAATAAGCCCTTATTTAGGAGGCTCTGTCCGGCCGTCATCATTTGGGGTAGTTGCCGGTGGAATTTTTTGATAAAATTTTTTGAGCATCTTATTCATCAAGTCTAGTTTACTCATACCAAATTTTAGCTAAAACTTGAATCGGGAAGGCATTCAAATGAATTCTTGAAGATAACTGCGCTTCTAACTGCGCAGTTATTTTCAAGAATTCATTTGAATGCCTTCCCGATTGAAGTTTTAGCTGAAATTTGGTATGAGTAAACTAGACTTCATGAATAAGATGCTAAAAAAATTTCATCAAAAAATTCCACCGGGAACCACTCCAAATGGCAACGGCCGGACAGAGCCTCCTAAATAAGGGCTTATTTGACCTTTTTTGGTTAGTACATGGGTCTATTTGCACCTTTTCCCTAAAATGTATTATCATCTACTTGTGGGATAATATCAATCAATTCTAGAAAAAAATCATTGGTGAGTCATGGCATATACTGTGTATAATGATGAGATTAAGAAAGATCTTCTACATTTGGGAACTCCTATTCCTAAAGGGTTAGCAAGTGCTTTAATTATCCTTATACCCAAGAAGGAGAGGCCTTCCAACTTTAGTGAATTCAGACCTATATGCCTATCAAATTTTGTATGTAAGATCTGCACTAAAGTTTTGGCTACCAGGTTAAAACTTGTTTTACCCAAGATCATTTCTAAAGAACAAGCAGGATTCATGGCAGGGAGAGAATCAGCAGAGCAAGTCTTGATTGCTCAGGAACTTGTTCATCATATTGATAAGAAGGTGAGGGGTAGTAATCTTATGATCAAATTGGACATGGCTAAGGCCTTTGATAGGGTCTCCTGGAACTTCCTTTCTGCCATTCTTCTTAAGTTTGGATTTTCCTCATTTTTAGTTCAGCTTATTATGAACCATTTACAAGCTTCTTACTTCTCAATTCTGATAAATGGCTCATCTCATGGATTTTTTAAACCCTCTAGAGGGGTTAAACAGGGTGACCCTCTATCTCCTTTTCTATTTATCATTGCTTCAGAAGCTTTCTCTAGAGGGTTAAATGGCCTAATGTTGGAGGGGAAAATAAAACCTTACTGGACTGGAAAACAGGGGACTCATATTTCTCACCTGGGATTCGCGGATGATTTATTAATTTTTCTGAATGGAGAAGCAAGATCCCTTCTTAACTTCAAAAACTTTCTTCATTCCTACCAAGAGGTGTCTGGACAACTGATTAATCTGGATAAATGTTCCTTTGTTTGTGGCGGCTCTGGTCATATTAGACAGTCCAGGATAAAGGAGTTATTGGGCATGAATAAGGCCTCTCTTCCAATCAAATATCTGGGAGTTAAACTGCATAAAGGAATAAATAGATTTGATTACTGTGGAAATCTTATTCAGCAGTTTGAGAACAAACTTTCCCCCTGGAAACAAAAATTGTTGTCCCAAGGAGGAAGACTTACTCTTATCAAATATGTTCTCAATTCTCTCCCTCTGCATATTTTAGCAGCTGACACTTTACCCAAAAAAGTTGTTAAAGTTCTTAACAGTAAAATGGCATCATTTTTTTGGGGTTCATCAGAAGTGAAGAAGAAATATCATTGGAAAAAATGGGAAAAGCTTTGCCTGCCAACCATTGAAGGGGGTTTAGGCATTAGATCATTGACTGATCTTGAAAAAGCCTTTACTCTTAAGCTTTGGTGGAAATGGAAAACAGGAGATTCTATTTGGAGTCAATTTATGAGAACCAAATATGAAAGAGGAGGAGACATGTCACCCAAACTTACAGATTCTGCTATTTGGAAGAGAATCTGCTCAGCTCATGAACAAGCTTTAGATATGTGCTCCATTGATCAGTCAGGCATTATCACCTGGGATGAAGAAGAAGATGGTCAGTTCAGCCTTAAAACAGCCTATGAAGAAGTGAGGGAAAGAGCTTTCTGTTCATATGCTAATCAACAGATTTGGGATTCCAATAATGAGCTCAAGCTTAAGCTTCTTCAATGGAAATTAAGGGAAAAAATCCTGCCAACCTCAGACAATTTAAGCAGGTTCAATTTGATCCTTAACCCCTCTATTTGTCCTCTTTGTAGAAATGATACTGACACTATGAATCATTTGTTCTTCCAATGCTCAGTCAGTAAAAAGGTGTGGAAATACTTCCTGAATATTTTGGTTTTTTTTCAAGGACCGGGAATTGACTATGGAAACTTCCTTAATTGGAAAGTTAAAATAAAAAACACTAGCTTGTTGGATTTTTTTAGGAAAAACATTCCTGGAATCATATGTTGGTTTTTATGGAAAAGTTACTCTTCCCTTATCTGGGGCTCAAGAGGTGGTGCTATAAACTCAGAGCAAATAATTTTTCAGATAAAATTATATACCCAGGTTTGGATTTCAAGCATCTCGATACCCAAAATCAGGATTATCGAACAGATTCTTTTTGAAGAGAATTTAGTCCCAAAGAACTTCAAACTCGGGGGTTTCAGACCACAAATTATTCGATGGATTAAACCTGCAGAAAAGTGCAAACTTAATGTTGATTTGAGCTACTTATCTGGCAAGGCTAAAGGAGGAGCGATTTTGAGAGATAAAAATGGAGATTTTGTCTCTGCTATAAGCTTCCCCCTGCAAGCTCGATCTCCCCTGGATGCAGAAATTCGAGCTATCCTCACTGCGTCTAAGTGGGCGATTGAAATTGGGCAGGATGGCTTCTATGTGGAATCAGACTCCCTTATGGCGGTTCATCTTATCGCTAAGGAAGAAGGAAGACGATGGATCGATGTATTTCAGGAAACTTCACAGATGAAAAATAGGCAACATATATCCTTTGGGCATATAAGACGAGAAGGAAATTGGGTTGCGCATTTTTTGGCCCAAGAAGAGGTTGCAAGTCTGGTCCATTATACTCATATTGATCAGCTTCCCTTATTAGCTAAACGCTCTTTTTGGATTGATTTTTATGGCATTCCTTCGGTTAGAGACTAGATTTAATTTTTTGTTTCGGGTTAGGTTTGGTCCCCCCGATTGTATTCGTTTTGGACCTCCATTAATAAAACATCGGTAAACGACTCCCGGCGTTTACCCCACTGATTTTGGTGGTTTACCTTCTGGGATAAAAAAAAAAAAAAAAAGAAAGATCTTCTACATTTTATTCAGACTCTTGCAAATTTTCTATTTGTTCCTTTCGTCCCATAAAACATTCCTATCAATTTGTCTTTCTGAAACTTGAAAAAGATTTTGTAAAGGGTGAGTAATGTCTTGAATTTTATGACTTTTGTAATTTAAAGATGTTTTCATACTTTGATGTATTTTACTTAAAATTTTATTTAAATAACATTATTGTTTTCTACTTCTAAAAAATAAATCTAAGATTTATAGATCAAATAAAAATTAAACATGTGAAATTGAATCAAATCACATCAAACACAAGGATAAAGAGTTGTGCACCCCTGGTCTAAAATGTAAAACGAAAAATACTCCGTATCATTTTATGCCAAGCCAAGGCTGATTGCTCTGATCTTAACTGACTAGTTGCCAAGAAGGCAAGAACTCATGTGAGCACTCTTATCTCATTACGTTTTTCCCAGAAAAAGCCAAAGGAATTTCATCAAACAATTCGTTTAGTTGTTCGCATTTTACTTGTTAAAAAGTATATGCAATTTCGTGGGCTGTTCTTCCACATTCACAGTGGAATTTAGGGTTTCCGTTCGCCCATAGTTATCGTCCTAGTTGATGCCTTGGTTATGGATCAAAAGGTACGCTATTTATTGATTTTGATTGCGTATTGTTGTTATTCTTGTTAGTAGGAATTTGGTATATTCGGATCGGTAGAGTAGACAATGCTGGAGTTGTAAGGTTCAAGATTTCGATCTTGATCTGAGTGTGACTTGCGGGTTCGAGCTCAAAGCTTTAGCGCTTTAGCTGCGATGGAGTTGGATTGCGAGTGTTCTGCATCTCAACCCGTGGAGGCGGGTGAAACAATTGCGAATACAAACTCTGACAAACCTGTTGTTGGTGTTGATGATATAAAACTGAAAGATTATAAAAATAATCGTAATGAGCGTATTGATGAATCGATAGAAACTACTGGGAAGGCAGCTGAAATCACAGAGGAGCCTGTCAAATCGGCTTCTGCATCTGCAAAGGGTTATGGATTGAAGAAATGGAGGAGGATCAGGAGGGAGGAAGTATGTAATGATGGAGATAATAGCGCAGGTGGTAGTAAGTTGATTATGAAGCGTGGTCTGTCTGTTTCCCATAACGACTCTGCAAAATCTGTGCATTTTCAAGGTGAAATCTCACAAAAAAGTGATGACACTGTTTCATTCCCTAATGAATTTGTTAGTAATCTGGGCATGAATTGTAATTCACTGGCTTCCTATGGTCATGCTTTCTTGGCTGGTGCGGATTCGGAGAACAGTGAGGAGGATAGTAGTAGCAAGTCTTCAACTGCAGCTAGTGCTCCACCAAATAAGAACAACTTGGTTAATATTAATCGAAGAAATATTGGCGTTTCATCAGTTCAGAAGAAAGCATCACAGCCGAGAATAGCTGTGATAGAATCTAGTAAAAAACATAGAGGCGAAAGGGTCAAAATTGAGAAGGAAAACTCTTATTCCAGCATGGAGTCCGACTCAAGAAGCTCCAACTTTGTGTTTATGCAGGGCACTCGTTGTCTGAAAAGTCAGAATGGGACAAGAGCTAGTGATGAAGGTATGGACG